TCGACCGCGCTGAACGTTCGCCATGGAATTCAAAGAGTCTCCAACTCAGAAAAAAATTAGGAAAATAATGCGTTCTTCCTTTCTAAAATCAAAACGAGATGACGGATTTCCTCACACCTTCTGCCAATTTCATGTCCGAGAGCGGATGTAGAATGCAATATGATACTTCCTCCGATCCAGTGACGTTTTACAACCATACTTCTTTCAAAATCAATTTCATATTCGCCATAGGATCGTACGTCATAGGACCGGGAGCCGATAGCGGCCTTTCCGGCTATGAAACGATTGCAGTTCATTCTCCTGGAAAAACATTTGCAGCCTTCCTCTTCACCATCTCTCCTAAATCAACCCTATCTATTAGCCCCAATGAAAAGAGTTCCAATGGAACCGTTTCCATGTACGAAGAAGTGATTGCTCTAGGAAAACCGAAATCGTACAAAATGAATGGAAAAGATACTACTTTACAAGCTTACCTTTGCAAAAGACCAGTTTCCTCTCTGCTCTACTTGACACTTTTGGATTCCAGTTAATTAGCCAGTCCCAATCCTGTCTTTTCGGATTCTAATCTTCCAATGCTATAAATAACCAAAAAAAACAACTTTTTCGTGAAAAAGAAGAATGGATAATTCGAAAAAACTGTTCGAGCAATCGTTTGTTCATCCTCCTGAATTTTTATGGCCTTCGATTGTCGACGAACTACAAAACAGAAGTGAACTGTTGGCTAGCATTTTCAAACACATCGTGGAGCAGTATTCATTCACATTGTATGGAAGTAAAGAACAGCTCGGGGCGTGTCTTCTATTTTTTTTTGAAAGAGTTCTTGATAAGGACCTCTTCTTGGCGGAAATAGAGCTTATGTTCCGAGAATTTCAGTTCACTTCGTTAATTCCGGAAATTTCCGACATCGCAACAAGAGTCAATTTTGTTAGTTCACTCCCAAGAAACTTGTCCGCTTTGGAGAAACAAATTGTTCGTTCTTTACTTCTTCGTTTCCCGATGCCAACGGTAGTCTCTGTAGTCGAAGAATTGCTAGCAAACCCTTCTAAGCAACTCCCTGAAATTTTAACCCATTATTCTCCTGTTTTGGCTCAATTCTGCGTCGTGTGTCGATCTTTAAGAGACATGCAGATGAGTTCCTTGATTGCTCAGTTATTGGCCTTGGCTGAAAACAACTTGGATTTCCGCATTGACCAAGTTGCAAAGAACACCATCCCTTTTCTGATTGATAAAGAGAACCTCGATCCCAAAAAAATTGAAGACTCGTTGTCGTTTCTGGACACGACTCTTCCTGTGAGTGAAGCCCTCAGCTCGTTTTTCGAGCAGTTGAAATAATAAATAAAGACATCAAGCGGGTAGTTCAAGGAACGGTAAACGCTATCTGATTAAATGGAATGCACTCGGTCCTCCAGTTGAACAGAAAATAGGACAGAAAACCAGTCCCTTGAACCGTTCGAATTTCTTTCATTTGCTCGGTTTGAGTTTGGTCTCCTAACAAAGTGTAAACATCCATCTGGCGCTTTTTCGCTTCAACTACCATGTCTTTTCTGACTGCTTCCAAGGAAATGGAAGGAAGGCAACCAGAATAAAGTTCCTTCGCCATTTTCACCGTCCCGTTTGAACTTGCCAGCAACACCTCGTAAAAACTAGAAAAAGCAACAATTCCACCTCCCTTCTCAGTTCGAGCTACAAAAGAATGCGCAATACCTTGTCTGGGAAGGAACAAGTGACAAAACTGGTTTCGAGAAAATTTGGGATAAAACAGCTTTTCGCGCGAAAAAAAAGAATTTAACAGCTCAAAAACAGAATTTACGTCCACAACTGCCAAAGGCCCCCATTGATAACTTTGATAAGAAGCTACATGAAAATATCTTTCTATCCGAGGCCCTCGACAAAACCCAGCCTTAACTAGATTGGGCACGTTCAGAAAACGGTGGTAGTGAAGAGCAGTGGACAAGGAACGAAACATTTTTGTGTAAGAAGATGTGAAAACAGCTTGAAAAATGCCATCAATAGCTGCTCTCCTCGATAACTCATCTATAACAATAGGGGCTAGTCCTTGACCTCGAAACTGCTCGTGAATACAAAGAAAATTCACTACAATCATGGAAAAGGTTCTTTCTTTGCAAAAAACAGTCAAAGGAGTTCCACTAACAAACGCAATCAACTTACGAGCGTTCTTGTCCTCTACGCCAACAAGATACTCCTTTTTCCAGCCAGGAACACGTAAAACCCATCTCAAAAACGCAGAAGAAAGGCGATAACAAAGTACAGATGCCCGATCTTTCACATAGTGGTTGTTCAAAAGACGCAATAAGTGACCCACTTCCTGCTCAATGTCCAGATTCACTTCTACCCATTGCAGTTCGGGTGCAGTTAAAGAAAAAGGTTCCCTAGAAATATCAGATGAACTGAAGCTGAAAACAGGTCCTTCTTTCACTGAAGTAGCTGTCAAGTGAGGACTCCAAAATCCCACCATTGTCTCCTCTTTTTTTTTTGATTCAGTGAGTCGTTAAAAAAACAATGGAAAGTCTTAAGAGATGCTGCCTAAACACGCCGAAGATCTGTTGTACGTTACAGAAGCTATTGATACCGTCATATCTGTTCTTCAATCTTTCGAAGATGTAGCGACTTCTCCATACTCTAAGTATTTGGAGGAAGCAAAACGCTTGACCACAAAGATTCTAGCCGATGAATCATACGAGAACAGAATTGTTTCCTGCGAAAAGTTCTCGGTCAACTCTAC